TGGTCTCACCATAGTTGAAGCAGTAAATACTAAAGTAACAGCTGTGGAATGTTTGAATGGTGCTTTTCTATCAAAGAGCAGATGATATCAGAAAAAAGGGAAGAGACTTTTGTTCTAAAGCATTTGTTGTTTCTAGAGCTTTTCGTTTAACTTGGTCAGAGCAGGTTTACTGTGAAAGCAAACTAAAGAAATTGGAATAGTGCTGCAGTGTACATAAAATTAAACAAATGATGAAAGATATTAGCAGTACGTTCATAAAGTGAAGACTTACAATCATCTTGCAGTTTTCTGCAGCTAATTTCCTGGTGATTTTTTTTTTTTTTTAAACAACGGACATTCCTCCAACAGGAAATACAAAGGTGGCAACGTGACTATTGCTTCATGAAGCTTTCCTCTAGGATTTCTAGTGGTTCTTCTGCTGGTTTGAATCATCTTTTGTTCAGTTTGTTTCTACAGATAAAATTGCTCAATGTGTGTTGCGTGTTCTGATGATTTTCGTGGAGAGGTGGAGAATATCTTCCATCTTCTGTTAGTTTATTCATTCCAGTTTTGCAGAGGGATGAAGCCATGAAGTTTTTGGTACATAAACTTTTAAGGTGAAAGCCTGGCGATGGGATAATGGCTCTCTAATAAGAAAAAGCTAATGAACTTTTAATCACCTCAGTCTGATTTTCGTGATAGTGATGGGATGTACTCATTGTTTACATTCTGAAATGTGTAAGTTTTATCATAGTGGCATGACTGAAGATAATACTTGAAGGTGGAACAGATTTTCTGTAATGCATTTGTTTCTTCAGGAGAATGTGCAGTAAAAAATGGTTCCCAGAGGGTATTGAATTGGATCAGTACCTACCCTGGAAAGTTTCAGATAAGCACTGTGAGTGGACCTGTTGGTGTTTTCATTGCTGCATGTAAAAATTTCAGTGCTTCTGGCAGGAGGTCTGAAGAACAGTGTAAAATTTACTGAAATGATCTGTTCAACAAACATATTATAGCCACCCTGTAGAAGACAAGTCTTGGAACATACTCACTGTAGTCCACCTCTAGTGTCATTTGTCATCTAGCAGTGAGATAATTCTCTCCACCTCCCACCCCCAAGAAACAGTGCCTAGAGAGTAGAGGGGGGTTATTGTCTGCCCCTCTTCAAGAAATGTGTTTACTAAAAACCCAGATGATGCTGTTTCTGTGCTAGGGCAAAGGGGCAGATTGTTGAGGTGGGACACTCCTTGCACTGAGAGACTTTTTACATATGTGAATGAGATTCCCTCCAACATATGTAGGTTAAGTCTTTGTAGTTCAATAAAACAATCAAAGAAGGAGGTCGAGCCGGTTAGGCTGTAACAAGTGATATCACTGCTGGTGATCCTGTAGGTTAATTGATCGTGCTGAGAAGTACTGTAAATTAGTCTTTTGGAGCTTCAACCTCCACAGCTAGACTGCTTCTCACCGTTGCTACTTGTTTATTCAGAACTACCTTGGGTCTCTGCATATCTTCAGGAGGTCATCTAGCCCAGCCTCATACTCAAAGCAAGATCAGCTTTGAGGTCAGCGTCTGTCTTGTTTTTGGGACCCGAAACAGTAGTATGCAGTATTCTAAATGCAGTCTGAAGAGTTAAGAGGGATACTTACTTCTCCTGCTCTACTGGTTGTGCTCCTGCTCGTATAGGCCAGCCTGCTGCTGACCTTTGCTGCCAGGGCACACTGATGGCTAATGTATGGCTTGGTGTCTGCCAAAACCCATAGAGCCTTTTCTGCAGAGCTGCTCCCCAGCCAGTCAGTCTCCAACCTCTGTTGTTCCAAGGTCTTATTCCTTCCCATGTGCAGGACTTTGCTTTTGTTCTTGTTGAGTTTCGTAAGATTCCTGCTAATCCATTCCTCTAGCCTGTCTAGGTCCTCCTGGATACCAGCCCTTTCCTCAAGTGGATTGACTTGTCTCCCCAGTTTGATGTCTTTCACAAACTTTATGAGAAAACACTCCATTTCCTACTTCAGGTGGTTGATAAAGATACCAAACAGGACAGATCCCAGGATAAAACCCTGCAGTACTCTACTTGTCACAGGCACCCAGGTAGAGTAGGGCTCATTAACCATTATCCTCTGAGCATCCCGCTGTTTTCTTGCCCATCTTGTTGTCACCTCATCCAGACCATAATGTCCTAATTTGGATTAAGGATTATTTGTGGGAGACAGCATTGAAAGCTGTGCTTATTTAGAGGTTAATGACATGAACTGTTGTCCTCTTGTCTGTAAACCCAGTGATTTTATCACAGAAGGCATTCTGCATGTGCCCAGGAATGTGTTCCTACATGGTTCATATAGAGGGCTTTCTGCATTATATATTCCAGGGGACTGGCATGAGTCTGACTGTTTTGCAGTTCGTGTGATTGTCCTCCAGGTCCTTTTTGGAAGATGGGTGCAACATTGGCCTTTCTCCAGTTCTTGGCGACCTCCCCTAATCTGCATGACCTTTCAAAGATGATAGACTATGACCTTGTCCTTGCATTGGCTGGTTCTATCGTTGAGTCACATTACAGTGATGCCCTGATTTGGCTAGAAATGGTGATGGGTACATGATGGTTATGATAGTTTGCAATATGTCCACTGTATGCAGTCATAATAGGAAATGGATCACTGTGGTATAGCTATACTAGTGTCAAAAGTCGGGTCCCAGTGTTCTGGATACTAACAGATTACGAGAAAGAAACTTAAAATGGCCTTTATGCTTATACGTCTCAATAGCCACAAATTTAAAAAAAAACCCTATGTAAATTATAAAGTACTAGAGTGGTACAGAACACTAGCAAGACTTCTGTAAATAAAAAATTTAAATTGGAAGCAAAAGTATCTAGTTTAAGGAAAATGTTTTTATTTACTACTAAATATTTACTATATTTTCAGGTATATTTGTCATAACTGTGTGTAAAGTTTCATATGAGGTGTAAGCTGCTAAATAGAACTAATTTAAATAATTTGGGTTTACATGCATGTGGAGGTGCTTGTGGTAGTATTAATTCTTGCTGCTCTCATCATATATATGCAAAAAAAAAAGTTTGCCTTGTTGTATAGATTTAAAAAGTAAAGAAAACCAGTTCCTGACTCTTATTACAGATTACAGCTTATAAGAAGAAGATGCAATGGTGTGAAAATGGACTGGATTCTTGAAAAAGAGTAATGGAAATAGTTGGATTGGAATTGAGTAATGTGTATTTCTGAAATATGACTGCAAAATAAAAGTTTCATTGAGGTATTGTCTTGAGTTTACACTGAGAAGTACTTGTAAGTTTGTAGGATCACAGGAAAACTCATGTTGGAGGGGACTTCAGGAGGCCTCTAGTCTGAAGAGCAGAATCCATTTCCAGGGTCAGACCATGTCACCCAGGCCCTTATCCAGTCTGGTTTTGGAAACCTCTGAAGACTTGGACTGTACATTGTCTCTGGGCAACCTATTCTACTTCAAATAAATCCCCTAAGAAAGAAAAGAGCCAAAACACTAAAACTGAAAGCAATATTGAGCGGTCGTAACGTAGACTGTTGAAAAAAACAGTTTCTCAGTGTCCCGTTCCAGGAGGTTTACAGTATTTTAGATGTGTATTCCTAAATCTTTTCTAAGGGAAATGCATACGATAGACTGTTAAGTTTGTAGCCACCAGACTTATTTTTCTTTCTTCCCTTTGTTAAAGCCACAGATTGAAGACATTTTCTGTAGACTGTTGGTTTTTGGATTAGGTAACTCTGTTAATTTAAAAAGGAAAAAAAAAAAAGGAATGATGAGAGTTGTTTAAAAAATGTCATTCATAATAATGCCTTTACTTTTTGGATGCTATTGTTGAAGTCCAGCTATGTGAAAGATATCCTATTATAAAGCAGTTTTTTGGAAAAAAAAAATACTTGACTTTAAGGCAGAGCTTTAAGGTAGTGAAGAAAAGGAGAAGAGTCTTAGCAAAACGTAGGCTGCAAACAGCTGTAACATATCCAGGCTTGACTGGTGAAGTCACTTGACGTGACTGTTGACAGAAGTCCAACAAAGCATTGTAACGCTTTCTATTGGTTGGTCACGGGACCGGAAATTAGTATTGTAGGAGTTTTAAATGAAGTTGTGGGCTTTGAAAATACAGTGTGAGATTAGAACTAACCGCTGTGGAAGACGACTTAGGAGTAATGTATATCTGCCATTTAAAACAGGTTTGTGGGTTTTTTTTTTTGATCATCTTCAGAAATTGAGCCATGTTTAATTCAAGGTAGTTCATGTAGGACCATAGTTAAAAAGATGAAATGCAATGTTTAAGCAATGTAATAGTAATTTCACAACTTCTACAAGGCAAAGCTAATGGCTTCCCTAGGAATTCTGTTTTGTACTTTTGATGCCAGTAAGGAGTGAATGTAGAAGTGCCTATCAATGGATAATTTGATCATGATTGATAGAATTTTCTTTAAATTGTTTTTTAAAACTAGCTTACATACATTTCATTTTAGATCTCAAAAATGACTGAAGTTATTGGAGGTTTTGAGTTCTATTTTAAAATTTACAAAATGTGTTCAAGGTGTCTTTGATTCTTCGTATATTTCATTATTAGTTTGTGCATTGTGTGTTTTGTAGACCCGTGTTGATCTCTGAAATGGGAAATTTCCTGTGTATTAAGGATAACTGCATCAAACAGTTCTGCTTAGAAAAGGATATTCCACTGGTTTTGATCCCAGTATGTTAAAGGGGCAGACTATTTACCACTGGTAACAGAAATTGCCATTTATAATATAATTGCAAATATAATATATTTTTTCATTTTTACTTACAAACCTTTTGTTAGAGTTCCTCATATTTTCAGACATTTTCTGTGTTGTTGAAATACAATGGCCAATACTATAAGAAGATACTGTATGTAAAACTTAGCGGTAGCTTTTAAAATACAAAAACTTTTTAATAAATTTTTTTTACACTTCAGTTTGGACTTCACAGCATCAGTTTGGACAGTGCAATTTCAAATGGTGTTTTTTCCCATCAGGACATACATTCAGAACAGCTGGGGATCAACCATGTAACCTGTCCGCTGTGCCAAGTGCCTTCTCAGTGGCCACTCAGTCTTTGGTCCACATGTAGCCAGCTCAGGGGTTTCAGAGTTTGGTGGCTTGGGAGCACTTGGTGCACCCACAACCTTAGCGGCACATCCCTGGCTAGCACGTTTTCCAGGTGCACATTGTCGCAAGGAATATTAAACTAAAGAAGACGGTTAACTGTCCTCACACACTAGGCAGACTTGATAAAACAGACTTCAGGCAAAAAACTTCAGACTACAGGCTTGACTAAAGTCCAGGTCAATTTTGATGAGAAGAAAAAAATACATTAGCCAAGTTTCTCAGGAACAATGTTTTCACAGTAGTCGTGTAAGAAACGAAGTAGTCCTTGATCTTTTTTATTCTTTCCATCACGAGGTAACATCCTTCTTCATTACATGGGTGTGTTGATTGCATAAACACAATTCTGGAAAGTACTCAGCCAGTAATAAGATAGACTTGTTTTCCTTTATAAATGTACTTTTTGCCTGTTAGACTTAATAGTGGAAGTTCTATCCAGATGTGGAAAAGGAAATTTCATTTGACTTCTTTTTGTGAGCTTAATGGTTTTATATTTCTGATACTGAAGGAGCTGGCGGATGAGCTTGCCAAGCCGCTCTCCATCATCTTTGCCAATGTGGGGGGGCCCCGGACGCTGGGAGGCTAGCCAGTGTGATGCCCAACTACAAGAAGGGCTGGAAGGAGGATTTGGGGAACTACAGGCCTGTCAGCCTGACGTAGGTACCGGGGACGGTGATGGAGCAGATCATCCTGAGTGAGATCACAAGGCCTGTGAAGGACAATCAGGGAATCAGGTCCAACCAGCTTGGGTTCATGAAAGGCAAGTGCTGCTTGACCAACCTGATCTCCTTCTATGACCAGGTGACCCACCTGGTGGATGAGGGAAAGGCTGTAGATGTGGTCTACCTGGACTTCAGCAAGGCCTTTGACACTGTCTCCCATGACATTCTCCTGGAGAAACTGGCAGCTTGTGGCTTGGACAGGCATGCCCTTCGCTGGGTGAAAAACTGGCTGGCCGGCCGTACCCAGAGAGTGGGGTGTGTAAAAATTGTCGGGCCGGCCTGACCCAGAGATTGGGTACCCAGCAGAACTAGGGAAGTGATCATCCCTTTGTACTCTGAACTGGTGAGGCCGCCCCTCGAATACTGTGTTCAGTTTTGGACCCCTGACTGCAAGAGGGACCTTGAGGTGCTGGAGCGTGTCCAGAGAAGAGCAGCAAAGCTGTTGAAGGGCCTGGGTCAAAAGTCTGATGGGGAGCGGCTGAAGGAGCTGGGGTTGTTTAGTCTGGAGAAGAGAAGGCTGAGGGGAGACCTGATCGCCCTCTACAGCGACCTGAAAGGAGGTTGTAGCGAGGCGGGGATTGGTCTTTTCTCCCCAGTAATGAGCAATAGGACAAGAGGAAACGGTCTCCAGTTGTGCCAGGGGAGGTTCAGGCTGGACGTTGGGAAGAACTTCTTCACTGTAAGAGTTGTTAAGCATTGGAATGGGCTCCCCAGGGAGGTGGTGGAGTCACCAAGTCACCATCCCTGGAGGCGTTCAAAAAACGTTTAGATGTGGAGCTTCGAGACATGGTTTAGTGGGTTTAGCAGGCATGGTGGCATTGGGTATACAGTTGGACTTGATGATCTTTGAGGTCTCTTCCAAACGTAATGATTCTGTGATCGTAGTTTGAATGCAGTTCTGCCTGAGTGTGAGTTTTGCACTTGGGATGCTGTAGCTCAGCGGACAGTGCTGTATTGCGAGATACACGTTAGGTGAATAGATTCCACCCCCACCCCCCCCAAAAAAAAAAACAAAAAACAAAAACCGAAACCCAAAATGCTCGATTGTAGAAAGCCAGAGGAATTCAAAAGCATGGTACTGTTACAGATATATAATTTATCTGCAATAGGATTGGCCAGCATGATCTTGTTTCTTACTCGATTTTATTCTTAAGGGGTTTCTTTGGTGGCATCTTGTCAAGTCAGTAGTCTCCCATCCTTTAAAATACCAACATACCGCATGAGAGAGATGAATACAAAATGATGCATCTGACATCCACCGTAAGATGTCAGTTACTCAGCTGGCATTTTCCAATCTTGCATGCTCTGTAAATTAAATACTATAATGCATTCTCCAAAGTATGCAGTTAGTCAAGATGCTTCTTAATTCACTTTTTCTGTAGTTTGAAAAAGAGACATTTTTCCTGCCAGGAAGTGAGTATCGTGAAGAGACCTCTGTTTTTCTTGGCTGGCCAGACCCTGCATGTCTATCTCTTCCCTTCCAATCCCCCAGTAGAATTTAAAGTTGTGGGATTCCACCGCCAGCAGAATTTTAGGAGTGTAGGATTTAGGTACTGGTAAAAACCTACAGCAAATATTACAAAGAGATCTTTCAGTGTTTTTAAATTTTTGTTTGATATGAACAACAGAATTTTGTTTTAGTTATTAATGCCAGGGGAGTAAGAGCAGAACTTTTGTTACTGAGAGGACAATAAGATACTGTATACATATCGACACAAAGCAAAAGCATCTGAAACAAATGCACGTACAGGTGAAGTAAGGAGGGGTAAAATACGTCCAAAAGCAGTGAATACTGGTTCATTTGTAATGTTCTCATTCAGTGATTTTTTTTTTAAAATTTTTTTTTTTTAAATTATACAAAAAGATTCATTCAGTTGTAACAGCCATCTAATATGTATTATTCTTTGAGAAAATTTTATTTTTGCTGAAGTAGGAATGAAAGAACTCTGTATCTGACCTTAGGCAATTTTCTGATCTTCTGTGATGAGTTAAGTTGCGACTAGAAATATGAGACACTCATGTCTGTAAAGATGGGGTTTTTATATTCATGTACCTGGGTAAATAAGTGTAGGGGAAAAAAATTATTAATCTTAAAATTTTGGTTTGCTGTCTCATTGAAGGGCAGTATTTTCAGTAGACCTTGATAATATAATAAATAGCTTGGAAGTTATCTTAGGCAGTCTAGCTGTATGTAGGTGTTATGATCTTGCTTAAGCCTTTGAATGGTGTCTTTGTCCTTAATGTGGTAGCAATTTGTCTTCATATGTACTGTTTTTTATATATATTGTCCAGTGACCATTGTTTTTGCATTTCTTGGTTAGTACATTCCAAAGCAGTGATTCTGTAACTTTGTGGGACCACTCAGAATACATACAAAACTACTGTGTATCACTATGCTCAAATTCCAAATTCGAGATAATTGTTTAGGCTTAGCAGTGCCTTATTAAAAAAAATATAGTCAATTTGCTATTGCAGAGTTACAAGAATCTGTGGAAAAGGATTACATAAGGGTTGCATAAATATTCTAAATAGTTGGCTCCTATAGTAAAGAACTTTAAAAATTGAGAGTTGTAGGGGCCATATCAGCTCATTTGAAGTTTATTTTCCTGGAGAGCAAAAATCAATAACTGTTTAAGATAAAAGTTTTAAACAGCAGCAAAACCAAAAAGAGTATTAGCTTGTTTTTAAAATAAGAAATCTTTATTCCTTGCTCAACAATTGAATTTATGTAATAACAGCACAGAGTAGCCCTGTTTCTGGTTGTGAAACAACCATTTTAATAGGGATGTTACAGAAAAAAATAGACTACTTTTTTCCAGTCCAGTGCAAACTCCAGGGTAGAAACATCTTAGAGTAGATATAGAGTTACTGTAGAGTACCTAGAGATTCCTATATTAAATAGGTCTTTTCATGGGTAACTGCTTCAGGTGGAGGCCTTGGAGTATTCCAAGACTGAGATTGCAGAGGCGATTCAAAGCTGTTATGCTTTTTCATAATTCTGATGTAGGAAGATTGCTGAGGTAATAATGAATGTTCAACAGTAACCTGTGAATATTGAACCTGTTTATAAGACTAGCAGTTTCATTTTGGGGTGATCACTTGTCATGTAGCTTCCTATTAAGTATTTATTTTCAGAATATGTTTAAATAAAACTGCATTGAAATCTTTAACAGAATGGCTTTAATGACTTAAGACCAGAATTGCTGCAGGAATTTCATGTCATTTAAGAAATACCTGCGTGTTGTGTTTTCTTTTTACTCCCAGATTTAGTAAATCTGCCTTAGGTTATCCGCAGCAACATGCTTATAGAAATATTTAAATGTATTACCAGAACAACTGAAGTTTGTTTTTATTTCCTTTGCGGTGCAGAATGGTGGCGAACAACTGACACACGCTCTCGTCCTGGGGCAGCTTTTTTCCCACCGCTCTTGGGAATTCCACCGCTGTTTGCACCTCCTGCACAGAATCATGATTCTGCTTCATTCCACTCAAGAGCTACAGGAAAAAATAGTCGGAGCAGTACAGAAAAAGGTAATGGCTAAAGTTGTAGGGGGAATGATCGTGTTGAACTTCTGCATGTGGAGAAAGATCTGGAATTTGAGTTTTACCTCTCATCGTTCTTCCCATTCCTAAACAGTTCTATAAAAATTTATTCTGTTAGCTAAGTGTGAGACACAAAAATATGGGCTTTCAATAACGAAATACTCTTTCTACTGTTTCTCCCCCCTCTTTTTCCTTAGATAGTTTGCTGGGACTGACTAATAAGGAAAAGTTTTCTTTTAAAGTTTCTGGCCTGGTTTAGGAGGCCTTGTACTTCTATAGTGAATAGCGCTCCTCTACACAGAAGAAGCAGGCATCAGGTAGTTGTTTGTTGGGGAGTGTGCGGCATGAAGAGGGGTATGGCTATGGCTACAGAATCTCAATTATTATAGCACCATGACATTAGAATATTTTCTTGCATTTCAAACTGGTATTTTATGTAGTGGTACTGCACAGCTTTTGAATACGTAAGACAGATTTGTTTGACGTTCGATACTAGGTTTGTTTGACTTAGAGGACAGGAGGCTGAGGGGTAACCTCATTGCTGTCTTTGCCTCCCTCACGAGGGGACGCGCAGAGGGAGGTGGCGGTCTTTTCTCACTGGTGTCCAATGACAGGACGTGAGGGGATGGTTTAAAAGTACATCGGGGGGAAGTTCACATTGGTTGTTAGGAAAATGTTGTTCACTGAGAGGGTGAGTAAGCTCGCCAGGGAAGTGGTCATGGCCCCAAGCCTGTCTGTGTTCAAGAAGTGTTTGGACAATGCTCTTAGAACTATGGTTTAGCTTTTAAGTTGTCCTGCGGGACAACTGTCCTGGTGGATGCCTTCCAACTCAGGATATTCTGTTCTGTGATTCTATGATGTACAAACTAAGCTTTTTTTAATTTTTTATTTTAAAAATAGTTTTGGTAGGTTTTAGGACCTGATACATGTTTCTGAATCAATCTGATGAGTCCTGGGATTGTAGAGTAGCAAGTTTGTGTGATTAGGGGTATTTTCTTAGAAAGCAACAGTCGTCTTGACAGATAAGTAAGCAAGCTTGCATGTGGATGTTATTTCAAATAGCATTCCCACAACTTCCCCCCCCACCTCATTTTACACATTGCAAAACTCATAAAATATCTTGGGCTTCATGTGAGTTTTTTTGGAGCTGATTGATACTTCAAAATTGTAAACAAGTTATTCTGTCAGATATTTACTGGAATGTGTATTTTTGTGTCATCTTTCTTCAAAATCTTTTTCTACCTCTGACTAAACTCAAGGATAGTTTGGACTTAAAAATGGACAATTTCAGATTCCCCCCTCATCCCTTACAATGGTAAATGTGTTTGTCGTTTAAATCATGGGTGCTCTGCATGTTTTAATTAAAATAACTCTTGAGCAAATGATGTGACTCTTGGATGGCAGATTTTTAGTACATGTTGGGAGTGACCTGTAAGTAGTCTAGTATCTTGTTACATGTTTATGGAAGCTAGGTTAGTGTGACTGGAACATCTCAAAGAAAGTATCTGCTGCTTCAGATTTTTTTTAAGTGTCACTTTGTAAATCTGTCATCTTAAGGTATAAATGGAGCACTGAATGGGAACAGTACCACTGCAGTATCTGGTATCAGCACATCTGTACTATCCACTGGCATTGCAGCATCTGCAGGACAAGTGAAAGCTATAACCTCAGGAGCAGGAGGCCGCAAATACAACCAGGAGCAAAGCAAAGTTCAGCTTTTGGACACCAGAGCTGACAAAATCAAAGATAAGGTAAATACACAGAAAAATACTTAAGATTCAGACAAAAAATTGACAGGGTAAGTGTTCCAATTGTGGACACAGCAGCATTGTTTTTTTTTCTCTCCCAGTACGAAGTGTTTTGGGTTTTTCTTAATTATTAGGGCAAGATCTGTACCCTGGTTTCTGTGTGTGTTTGTGGGGTTTGTTTTTTTTTTGGTAGTGTTTTTTTGTTTTTTTTTTTTTTTTTTGTGGTGTGGGATGTATGTTTGTTTGTTTTTTTTACATGTTTATGAACAAAAAGCTACCAGTAGCACGAATTCCACTAGTTAATAGCTATATGCAATAGCATATTGTTACTTAATTTATATAATTACAAAAATTAAGTATACTATTTTAGCACCAATATTTTATTTTATTATATTACAGTATAAATATTTGTATTATAATTGTAAGTTACAACCTATTATATCTATTTAATTACGTTCTGATGTAACTTAAAATACAAAAAATTTCAGAAGCAAAATGAAATTTTTAGAGATTAAAAGAAAAACGCTTTTCTGGGAACAATTTCCTATTTATCAGAAGAAAGAAGTATTATTATTGACTGTGATTCAGCAAAAAACTTAGACAGCTGTCTAAGTTGGAAGACATGATTAGTCTTAATGAGTTAGTAGACCTCCTTCTATACTGACCCAAGCATCCTTAAGAACTGTGCTACTCTGGGAATCAAAACTACTTGGTCAAAACACAGGAAATGGCCTACTGGGAAATTGGTGACTGTCAGAATAGAAGTGAAGGGAGTCGTTCCCTACTGGCAGCCATCTAGGCTAGAATACTTTTATTTCTTGATATTTATTTATATTTTTGTTTTGTGAGTGAATTGGACCTGTTGCTTTCTTCCTCTTTCTGTTACTGCATTACATTCAGCTCCCAAACTGAATGTTGTTAGGTGACAGGTTGGCGTTTTCAAAGGACAGTTGCTGTTTGCATGTATCTTCATAAAAATAGCTGTTAGCACTAAATAGTTAATTATATTTGTGTAGTGATACTCTGTCTAGTTTATTGACGATAGGGAAATTATTAATATATTAAAGAACATTTTCACTCAAAACATTCTTCATGTGTTCAGCAATCAACAACTTTTGAAGGTATTAAGGTAGTTACAGGTTTTTGGGAAATCTTTGACTTCTTTCAGGCTTAAATTCTAGAAATGGTTCTTTCCTTTCTAAAATTCTGCCTTTATCCTGGATCATCTGTGTGCAAAATGTAAGCTTTGTTTCTGTGGTGCAGAGGTAAAGCTTTTTCCAGATAATGTCTGCATTTCTGACCATTACTGCATTTACGCAGAATACCAAATAAATTGCTATCTTGTAGTATCTCCAAATACCTTCCCGAAAGCTTATATCATAAGTGAATGAACAGATTCTTTTCTGTTCACTTTTTGGCTCTTTGCCTTATTCAGAAAACTGAGCTGGTTAAGCTTGTTACTTGTTAATGAGTATCACTGAAAATTTCACCTCTTTTTGCCTTTTTTCCAAATTTCACTCAGAATGTTTATCAGCATTGATAACTTCTCCTTTGTATTACCGTTTGTCTTTAAGTATAAATTCTGTATTGTTCATACGTTTTCTTTTGATGTGGGTACTAATTTCAAACTCCAGTTTAAATTTGCTGAGTACTGAGTTGCTATAAAATTAGTGTACCTCTTTTCTTAAATTTGTTTAGTTTTGTATCTTAACATATAGATTGTCTATCTAATGCAGATAAATTTCAGGTTCTCAACAGTTCTGTTTCCTAAGTTTTTGTAGTAATTTTTCTAGGACTGAAGTGGAGTTTGTTGTTCCTGGTCTTACTCGATATACTGGCATCCTAGACATTCACCTAATCCTTATTCTTAACTTCTTTTCCTCTGAAACTTTTTGAGGTAAATGGTGTTTGTCAATGTAATGGTTTGAACAAGACTACTGATCAAAACATACAGAATACTCTAAACGAGAGCTCCAACATGAGGAGAAGATCAAGAGATTTGATTTTTAAAAAATTAGTTAAAAAATCAGTATTTTTATTTTAGTATGTTAGAATGAAGCCACACCTGGAGCTGAAGGCAGAAGAATAAGCAGGGGGCAGTAGGCACATGGAGTATTTTGTGCTGGGCTTTGTACAAGTGATGTCAGGTTTTTAAATTTCAAAGTGTAACACCACTTGCCTCTTTTTCTAAAAAGCACTGTTTATTTTAAAACAGTTATGCTTCTCTAAATACTCCTTTCTTTAGGGTTTTATTTTTTTAGTATTCATCTGCTGATTTCTTCAACTGTATCCTTATTTTTCTTTTGAGGTTGGTATTTAAATTTTTTTTTTAAAAGAATTTTATTTAAAAAAGAAAAGGCAAAGCTGATGCCGAGCTGTTTTTACAGTTGATGAAAAATCTAAAGAGTTACTTACTCTTTATGCAGTGTTTTCTTCCTGGTTGAGTTCTAGTTCTGTTGTCCTAGTGTTGGATATTAGGAAAAGGTTTTTCACCCAGAGGGTGATCGAGCACTGGAATAGGCTCCTTGGGGAAGTAGTCATGGCACCAAGCCTGACACTATTCAAGAAGCATTTGGAGAACACCCTCAGACACATGGTGTGAATTTTGGGCTTGTCCTATGCAGAGACAGGAGTTGGACATGGTGATCCTTGTGGGTCCCTTCCAACTCAGGACATTCTATGATTCTACCATCTTAGGGAATCCTAAGTGCAGTCTGATAGTAACTCGTATTACATAAATTTGCCTGTAGTGGATGAAAACCAACTTCTAAATTGATAGAAGCATCTGATCTTCAAAGCTGTAGTTATTAAGAGTTCTCATGCAGTTCCTTTTGTCTAGGATGTGTATTTGATCATTCAGAGGGCTATGCATATCAGACAATCATAAACAAGACCCTGTCTGAAACATGAGTTTAGAATTCTGCCAGATCCTCAGTCATCGCTGTATATTTGTGCGATATCATGTTATGTCTGTTGAGCATCGTGATGGTCATCCTGGTAATCTGATATACTAGCCTTGATTTACTTCTTACACACAAAAATTTGGTAACTGTGTTACCTTTTTACTTTGCTGTGTTGGTCACTGTATTGATAACTTTAGCATTCTTTAATTGTCTTTTAAGCCCGCTGTTTGTGGCCAAGATAAAACTGAATAAGCAGATAGGCTTTATAAACAATCATTCATCTGAATGTGCTGCTTCAGCCCTACAAAAGGAAAGTAAAACTACTCTTCTACTGATTGCATTAATGAATTTCTAGGATGAGGAAGGTCAGCAGGATTTTTACATTGGTAAAACAACAGTCTCCAGAGAAAGAAGGCATAACTGATGAACTTGAGTCTTGTGTGGCTTAGAGAAAGTCGCCTACCGTTACGGGCAGCTGGTACTTGGATTCCAGAATTAGCATCAGGATGCTGGGTTATTAACTATAGTCATCTCCCTTACCTTTAATCTCTCTCCTTGGCAATTACCGTGTTGTATTTCCTTTATAAACATCAATACTTTGAAATCATGACTATAAAATCTTTTTAAACTATCACTTTAGTCACCTTTTTATGGGACTGTCGCATTGGGTCATTAAGGTCGGACTACTTTTCTTGGTACTCGTATTCAGTCTAGATTATTGCTTTCTGAACAATGGATATTTTCAATTAGCATAACTATCTTGCAGGTTTGCTAAAGTCGGTGAACCAAATTCAAATATGAAATTTAAATTTAACCCACTCATGCTCCAACTTTTATGACTATTTTGTTGCCAGTAGAGGAACTAGTCAAAGTGAAATTTGCTCTTTTAACTTAATAAGTGTAATCTTTTTCTGAATAATATATTTTTTAATATTCTATAAATATCTACCTGGTCTTACATCACTTCAGAAGTCTAATGCTCTCTTTTTTTCTTTTATAGTTAACTTTTTGGTCTTTATTTTCCTTCTCTTTCTTCACTTTTTTTTCCCATGTCAGTAAGCTTTTAGAATTTCTTTCAAATATTTTTTGTTGTTCTAAATGTCTTTGCAGAGATATTTTTCTTTACAGACAGTTATCTTTTTTCTCCTTCTGTCTTACAGTATTTGTTTTACTCTGAATTACTTCTCTATGCAGTTTACTGGCTCCCCCCGCCGCCCCCTTACCTTTTTTACTGGGTTGGGTAGA